AAGGGAAGGGAAGGGAAGGGAAGGGAAGGGAAGGGAAGGGAAGGGAAGGGAAGGGAAGGGTTTCAAAATTACCTGTTAAATTTTTGCTTTACCAACCATAAATTGCCAAAGTGATATGAAATGCTGTGACATGGTTGGCTGTTCTCCACATGTGGAAGGACAGCTTTGGAAGATGTGTCCCTCCATCCATGTCACCAGGCTCACTCTCCTCTGGCAGGGATGAGCCCATGTGGCTTGGATGATAAACAAGGACCATGTCAGCCCAAATCCCAATTTCCCAGAGCTTCAGCTGTTTCCCCAGCCCAGAGCCAACACACTGACTGACAGTCACCAGTGTGGCCAAACATGGTACTCCATGTCACATTATCCATGAAGATAGGCCAGGTTGGATGGGCTTGGAGCACACTGGGATAGTGGAAGGTGTCCCTGCCCATGGCAGGGGATGGGACGGGATGAGCTTTAAAGTCCCTCCCAACCCAAACCAGTCTGGGATTCTGGGATTCTGAGATGTTACAAAACAGCTTGAGAGATTCTTGTCACTGATTCTCATGTTGTTCCTTGGGAACAGACTGAAAGACCCTTTCATATTTTGTCCTCTCTCTCTCTCTTGCTCCATGACTAGGATCATAGAATCCCAGAATCACTTAGGTTGAAAATTACTTACAAGACTATCAAGACCAACCTGTGACCAGTCACCAGCTGGACAAGACCACTGAGTGCCACACACAGTCACTCCTTGAAAATGTCCAAGGACAGTGACTTCACCACCAATGCATCCCCCATTTCCCCCCTCCACCCCAAGCAAGAGAATGAGTCAAAACTCTCTGGATTTGTGAATATCCAGACTGTGGTAACAGCAGGATGTTGGGGTAGTACAGGAAAAGCTGGGTTCTCTGAAGGAACCACACCCATCCCATGGAGTACCCACACTGGAGCAGAAATGCAAGGAAGAATGAGCAGCAGAGGGGAGTTTTTACGGACTGACCACATCCCCCATTCCCCATTACCCATTAACCATTCCCCATTCCTGCTGCACTGCCCAGGCTGGAGGGAAAGAGGGGAGTTGGGGATGTGAAGCTGAACTTGGGGAAAAAAGAGGTTTAAATCTTGTATTGGTTTCTCACCATCCAACCATATTTTAATTTGCAATAAACGAAATTAATTTTTCATCAAGTGTTTGCCCATGACAATTATTGGTGTCACATGGCGTTTATTGGAATTTGGCAGAAAATAATCCCCCTGCATCCCAACTGGTCCTCAGAGGAGCTGGGAATGGCTGGGTTGAATTTCTGATCATGACCAATTGGGTACCACAAGTCTGGTCCTGTTCAATGAGGACTTTCATAATCACAGAGTCACAAACAGTAGAAATTATTGAAACAAGAGAAATACAGGTTTGGAATTGCCATTGATAAATGCGCCAGGATGATGATGATGATGATGATGATGATGATGATGATGATGATGAGGATGATGATGGTGGTGGTGGTGTTGATGATGATGATCAACAACAACAACAATAACCATACTAATCATGATGTGCTACCAGGGGTAATAATAATTGTATGCAAAATATTACCAAGAAGGCATCCCCAGCTGGGAGGGGAGAGAGCAGACTCACCCACTGATTCTATCCAAGGTCTTCCTCCTCATTAGGGTAGCTTATACCAAACCAAATCATCCCACTCCTATTTTATGTACAACATGATCCAGGCAAAGAGTTGAGTTATAAAGTCATCCACAGAATCCTGGAATCATTCAGGTTGGAAAAGCCCCCCAAGACCATTGACTCCAGCCTGTGAATGGTCTCCACCTTATCAGCCAGACCAGAGCACTAAGTGCTACATCCAGGTATTCCTTGGACACCTCCAAGGATGGAGATTCCAGACCTCCCTGAGCAGCCTCTTCTAATGCCTGAGCATAGTTTCCATGAAGAAATTCCTTCTCATGTCCAGCTTGAACATCCACTGACACATCTTGAGGTTCAAGACACAGAGTTTTAGACCATCTTCTGATCTTTGTGGTTCCTGATACACCTAAAAAATTATAATCTTTAGAATTACTATTCCTTTATAAACTAAGACTGAGTTTGGAACCTGCCATGAAACCAGTGGTGGGCTTACAGACAGAGAGGTGTCAGGGGGACACTTGAGAACAGTATCTGGCATGTGACACCAGGCAAAGACACCATGACTGGTCACAGTCTGTCCATGTCACCATTCTGAGATGATCCTGAACTGATCCAACCCTTGGGCTGCATCAAGAGGTTACCTTGAGAAACACCCCACCATTTCAGCCCAGGAGGGCTCTCAAGGAGGATTCAAAGGGTTGGCTGTGCGTATGTGAACAAAACAGCACAAAAAGTCTAATTTACATAAGAGGCTGCACTGGGTTAACTATGAAAGGTGGTGGATTGGGCCCCCTGGTTCTATTTTCCTCTCTTTCACTTTTGCTTCGTCTCACAAACCCAGCTCCGGGAACAAGGTGGGTTCTAAGGACTAGTGATACTCTTCGCTCTTGTTCTCTTCCTCCCCCTTTTCTGTCTTTATTTCACAGAACCACAGAATATCCTGAGTTGGAAAGGACCCACAAGGAGAGTCCAACTCCTGGTTCTGCACAGGCACCTCAACAATCCCACCCTGTCCCTAAGAGCATTGTCCAAACGCTCCTGGAGTTCTGGCAGCCTTGGGCAATGACCATTCCCTGGGGAGCCTGTTTAGAGCCCCAGAACCCTCTGGGGGAAGAACCTTTCCCTGATATTCAGTCTAATCCTCCCCTGATACTCCAGGATCCAGCCATTCCCTCTGGTCCTGTCCCTAGTCACCACAGAGAAGAGATCAGTGTTTGCCCCTTCTCTTCCTGTCACATGGAAATTGTGACTGTGGTGAGTCTCCTGTCAGCCTCCTCCAGCTGAATAGAGCAGGTGCCCTCAGCTGCTCCT